TTTAGCGGGATCGGGGGGTCAGGCTTGCTGTCATCGTATTTCAATTGCGTAAATCGATGCTCATGATATCAATCACTGGATTGTCTGATCCAGACTCGATTATTTACAGACCGTCGTCATAGGTGGAATATTGCTGAGTGCGGCGTTAAACAACAAACAAATACATACATAGATAGTTGCTCCTTATATTTCCATTAAGAAACTACACCAAACCCATACATAATATTTCTCGTGTTTAAAAGGAAATAGACGTATGGCAATAAATATTGCAATGGTACGCCATCAAGCATCATCCCTTTATGTGATGGTGTACAGTTCAGCTGTCATTTCGTATTTTTAGAATTGATTAAATATCTGTATTGAGTTCCCCATCTACGTGTTCACGTGATTCTAGAGCATTGTGTGACACTCTATCTTACAGCTATATCTTAGTGTCAGGGGGCTTCATGTAGTGCTGGTGACGTCGACACTTGCAGGCTTTCCATACAATGTCTGGAGGGGTGTCATGGTGTCTGTCATGAAATCAGTTTGTTTGTTGTTTAACCCCGCACTCAGCAATATTCCAGCGGTCTGTATATAATCGAGTAGACGCAATTGGGATACGATGACATGCATCAACCAAGTCAACGAGCCTGACCACCCGATCCCGTTAGTCGCCTTTTACGACGAGCATGGGTTGCTGAAGACCTATTCTACCCCGGATATTCACGGGTCATGAAAACCAGACCCCCATTACTACCCAAACACGTTGTACTTTTGACATAGACATTTCCAACATACATTTGACACAGACAAAATTTACGAACATAATTTCGCGAACACTTGGTGTCACCAGTGGTCCATTCACACACGTCACAGCAATTCTGCCCAATACGTTAAATGGAAAATGTTTCGGCGGATAATCTGGACTGGCTATTATCTTGCACCCCCCTCCACCACCACCGCTGGAGTAAAAAAAATAAAAATATAAATAAATATGTGACCACCTCCCCCCCCCCCCCGCAACTCAAGTTAAGACTCCACCGCATGTGCCCCTTCTTTGAATAACCACATGCAGGATGTTGAGAGCTGATGTTGCCCCAGATAAGCTGGCACCAGGCGATTCTTCCCATTGTTTCCGCTGCTGCATTTCAGTACCCGGATGTTCAAACTCTCGTGATTTGGGTAGGTCGTGAGTAATCGATATTTGATATTTTAGCGTCAACCTTATAACGGAACACTGTTTTTCATATTAAACAATTAATACGTATTATTTAAAGTTTGGACATGGCTGTATATAGTTACTCGATCTTCGGATGAATATGGCAATTTAGGGTTGGCATGGCATGGCATGGCCAGAAAGATTATTCTGCGCTCCTGATGGTTTACTCTTCCTGAAGTGTTTTTTTGTTCGATACACAACGACCGCGAGTCGTGTATTTCTTATGATATATCATAAGTTGATAACATGTACAAGCTTTAAAAACATTTACCTAAATCTTAATAATAATGACTCCCTGAACAGAATCCGACCTAGGAAATGTCGGACAAGTCCATTTTATGAACAGGTGGGTTAAGTTGGATATATCCCGCATATTTTTACAATCCTCACGTAGATTATCTGTATCTTTTCTCCTAATACCGATTGTCATATCTCTCCCACTTTTGGATGCGATCGTTCGTCCATTTATTGCGTTGATCTCCGTTGCCAAGCTACTTCTATGGGGACCTACTGACAAGAAACCCCCCTCTAAAATATAACGTTGTCCAATTTACGAGTCACCAAGTTGCGAGCTCATGTTTGAATCACCAGAAATGACGTAATGATAGAACCCCACCCGTCGTTACATAAGTGCAACGATCTTGATGATGAACGCGACGTTGAACCCCACCCCTGTCTTCGGCGTCTGTGACAGCCTTGTGGCAATGTCGACTGGCACATAGGGAGGAATAAATAGCTATTTATGTACATCTCGCTTTGTGTGCTTGATTAACAAGCGTGCGCAAGCTGGGGGAAAATGACCATATATCGATACTATATCGATTTTGTTACCGGTCCGTAATGTTAGTGAATAGGGTTAGTCAGTCTGTTGGCCGTAGTTCTAAACCTTCATTGAATTCTGGTCTCTAGGTTACCAGCGTCCACGATAGTCCGCGGCCAGCTTACAGTTACGAACTTAGGCATCGATATACACGAGATATGAGCCGGTAGCTACTTCAGTGAAGATCCGGGGTAGAATAGATCTTCAGTAACCCATGCTTGCTCTAAAAGGCGACTATGCTTGTCGTAAGAGGCGACTAACGGGATCGAGTGGTCAGGCTCCCTGACTTGGTTGATGCATGTCATCGTATCCCAGTTGCGTGGATCGATGATCATGATATCAATCACCGGATTGTCTGGTCCAGACTTGATGATTTACAGACCGCCGTCACAAAGCTTGAATATTGCTGAGTGCGGCGTAAAACAACAAACAGTGAGCGAGTATGTGTTTACGCCCATTTAAGCATTATTCAAGCAATATCACGGCGGGGGACATTAGAAATGGGCTTCACACTTTCTACCTATCTGGGGAATCGAACCCGGGACTTTGGTGTGACGAGCTAACGCTTTAACCAGCAGGCCACCCATCGACCCAAAATGAACACGTACCACACGAAACTGTGACGATTCAGAATTGTTAGAGATAATAATGAATTCTCGCACACAACTTCCCCGACTGACACACCCATGTTAATCAACACAGCTTAAATCCTACAATCGAAATCAACAGAAAAGGTGACTTCCTAGCTTGAACTACCATGGTTCATAGATCAAGGTTCGAGACGCAGCCTGTACATGGAAGTTCCCCCAAGCAGTTGAAAAGCACACACTACAGACGAAAACTACAGTCAAAACCAATGCCTACTCCAACTCGAAAACAAAGAATACAGACTAAACCCAACACCATCCTAAATATTGAGGGGTCATTGACAGACAGACATACAGTAAACTACGGTTATAACGAACTCAAAGGGACCATTAATTTTAGTTCGTTATATCCGTAGTTCGTTATAAACATATACAGAATATGTACAGCAAATGGTGGGGACAAAAAAATAAGTTCGTTATATCCGTCAGTTCGTTATAAGCGTGTGCGTTATGAACGTAGTTTACTGTACATGTTGCATATTCACGACAAAGAAGCATTTAACCATATTCACCCATTACATCTGTTAATCAACTTGAATAGTACACCAAGTCATCATGTGCTGGCTGACATACGAAATGATTTACAGCATCGTCCAACACAGGTGGCCCATCACGACCAGCACAGCACCAGGCTTATGCACAAATGTAGTCATCATCATGATGCAGCACACTGGAGCTCCATCAATATAGTGAAAACTACGCCAGCTGGTGGGTGTACTATAATACACAGTTCAGCGATCACGATACATAAACGTGCTTATTTGATCTTGTAGAACAAGGGTTCTTGCAATTCTAATACATGTGTGAGAGGTTGATTTAACACAGCCATATACATTGCAGCTTCAGAAACCACTATGGAAATCGAACCCGGTCTTCGGCGTGAAGTGCGTAAACTTTGACCACTTGCTACCTCAGCGCCCGATACAGTATAGGAGAGGTGTATTGATCCGCGAACAGAATATAGACCTGGTTTTATATTAATAATTTAAACACATCTTTAAAAACCTATATGGCATCTTTCATCATCGCTAACATGATCGTATGTAATAAGTTTCAGAAGACATAGAACGGCACGAGTTGAAGAACGATTAACAGGAGAGCTTAGGTGAGGACCGGGGTCTAATGAAGCCATGCTGGTTCTGCCCTACTTCCTGGCGGCGTAGGTCTCCATCAAGGAAGTAGTCGTGGCCGACGTCCGTGGAGCTGTCACGTCTCCATTGACATCACAGACAAGTGTTGGTGATCTCCTTGAACGCCCGCAGGTGAGATTCGATTAGGCGCAAATTCAGCATTTAAGGCAGGTTTCGACGACAACGAACATGCAGTGCGAAAGACTGTTCGCCTATCGCGAAACCCGTCAAAATGACCGATAATCCGTGTTTTGTTCCGTTGTCTGTCCATCCAAACCAGCTTCAGTCTTTCCATCATTTTATATACATTCGTGCATGTCACATAGGTAGCCTGGATACATTACCTGTTTTAATTAACTCTGTAGTACACGCCTACAATCTGTCTCGGAGTCGTTTTCTGTCACCAGTAAGAGCCAGATAACTTTGCCTCCAAGTACAACAGAGAATATGTCCCGTTATTCACGAAAAACCACTACTTGATCCTTTCTGGAAAATGTCGTCTGCTTCCAATTCAAACTGTCGTCTGCTACTAGTACATTTAAAGCCCGTCGTCTGCAATTGCCACTAATTTAACATATCGTCTTCTGTCAGACCGACTAACAAGGTTCTACAACAGAGCACTATCTAAATCTATCGCAACTCAATAATAAGCCTGCTCTCTGATATAGCGCCCTGTTTTGACCGTCTACTTTGGACCCAGACCCAATGCAGACCTGTCGTCCGTTGCCGGACCTATCAACCAGTGAATGCTGCTTTCCAACAGACGTTCAGCTTGGGCAGAGATCACTCGGCAGTCCGGATGCCCGTATCGATTGTATTGCTCCAGCCATATGTTACCTGCTTTATAATCTGTCGCTTTTGGTCGCCTTATTTACCCTATTGTCATCGCAAGCAAACCCACACAGCATACAACAGTTGCAAGCGAAAATAAAATGAGAGAGAAATCCAGTCAAATTCAATCAAGGTTGGAGACAAACGTTAGTAGCGTTACTGGCGTTGTCATGGCACGCGACAGAAACAATGCTTCGTAGTCGAAAAACTCAATTAACTTTTGGCAGCCCGTTCACTCAGACCATATGGTAGGATAACCAGTACTGGAATAGCTTTAATGTTTAGATAAGCTTAGTCAAAACCCCACAGCTGGGGTAGAACTGGTGTAGAAATGTACAAAGTTGAATCTATACTAGTGCAGCTATACTTACCTGACACTTCGTACTCCGTCGTCTCACTGTCCGTCCGTCCAGCCACTGGAACCAACCGCAGAGTGTCACCACACAGGTAAAAGTGATCACATGACCATGACGTCACTGTTCGAGATACGTTTTCACGAATGACAGAAGAGTAGGGAGTGTGAACGCGGGCTATCTTAAAACGGTTGGTCGGGACTTTGTCGTGCTCGGTCCAGGTAGCTGACACACGCAGAGCGCCGATAGTTCCTACTTCCTCCGGATCGATCTTCGCAGTTCGCCTCGCTAATCCATCCTTTCCAATCGCTAAATCTGAAATAGATTGAAATCAATAATGTGCAACATAACACACAGATGTTGGCTTCTGGTCGCTCCCGGGGAGGGGCGGTCATATGTCCTGGCATCGCCAGTCCAGTCCTCTCTCTTTAATGGCCCTGTTCCGAATGGTTATCGCCGAGCCGATGTCGGGAAGTCATGAATGCTGCATGAGCCGTCCCGGGCCACGAGGAGAGGACGATGGGAGGATCGCCGAGCCCGGGGATGTTGAAATGCCAGAGGCGTGGGGACACTTACACCACCATGATTAATATGAGCCAGCATGGCGCTGTTTACACGCTTATAAAAGCTATCGATTTTTTGGAGTGCTTGCATGCACGTACTTTTTACCTGGTGAGAGATGGCGTTGATTGCTTTCACAGGTGCCCACAGGTGTATCTGACAGGTGACAGAACCGCGTTGGCTACGTGCGGCGTTTATTGGCTCGTTCAGGGAAAAGATGACATCGTCTGCTCGCCGAAAACGAGCGGGAAACACAACTCCACGCAGCCAGCTCGGAAGCAACTGAGGCTTTGCCGATCCCGATAGCCGTCTGGTTATTCCGCCAGCCCCGGGCTTGAATACATCATTATTCCGTGAAGAACATTCCCTATCAATAATAAAATCTGTTGGCTCCTCGGAGAGCTATTACAATGAGATTTATGTAGGAAGCGATTCCACTCGACCATGACTCCAAGCAAGAATCAAAGCGTTCGTTCACGTTACCAATACATGAATATTTCACTATCGTAGCTTTGGGCATCGTGTTCTAAAACCTCTCTGTATTAAGTAACACCGCATTTACGCATTGTGGAATAGCAGTGACACTCCTGTTTGGAATTGTCTTCATAAACAATTCAGGAGGAGATAACTCTAAAATCCTATGTAGACATGACGCTCCACCCACAAAAGAATTACCGAAATAAGTTAACGTTCTCGTGTTCAGTGTTACCAGCTGCAAAATACTTAAATGATAATTTAACCCACAAACGAAGCTGAATCAACTGATCAATTCACATTGAGGTTGTATGGCAATAAACTGATTGATTATGTGCGGGTGACTCTGTCCTTGGTTCAGTGCATTGATCAGTATGATGCCCATATGCGTTTTTTTTATGAAGGTATGATAATTACCGATATTTTCAATATTCATCCTATTTTTATTATAGAAATCTGGGTTTTGAGTGAATTTGTACATATTTTTGATTCATTGTGAAAAGGCAATGATTGGTAAGATTATTATATTTTTATAGAACTATGCAACCCTGTTACATTTTTCGGTACTGTCCCCAGTAACATCGTACGGATGACCAAATTTGAGTTTCAATTTAAAATCACTTTGGTCAGGATTTCATTTAAATCACCACGTGTGGGAGAGGGACCTAGACATGTTCCATCTAGTGTTTGTTTGTTTGTTGTTTGAGGACGCACTCACGAATATTCCCGCTAAACGACGGCGGTCTGTAAATAATAGAGTCTGGACCAGCCACTCCAGTGATTGACACATCATAAGCATCGATATACGCAATTGGGATACGATGACACGCATCAACCAAGTCAGCGAGTCTGACCACCCGATTCGGTTAGTCGCCTCTTACGACAAGCATGGGTTTACCTATTCTAACCCGGATCTTCACGGTATTTCCATCTATGAAACCAACGAACAAGGGTATGGTGCTGATTAACCAAGAGTCATAATCAGGACGAAATTTGAATTCGAACCTCCGAGCATTGTACCCTGGCACGACTAAGGGGGGCAACTCTGCACAGCCGTACGTTCTGTATGAAGAACCGGTGACGAAATCATAGACCGAACACATTAACCAAAAGAACCCAAGATTCGTGGACAGGATTAAAATGGTTGAAATGTGTAATGCAGTATAATGATAGGATGGAAAATGTCTTGAACAATACACACTGATGCTTAAATATTTTAGTATGCTGGTGAAAATATGGAGGGAGAGATTGTGCATAGTTGACAAGTATTCAGTTGTCGACACATGAACAGGACGATAGGCTTATACTTTATTCATGAGTTGTTCACGATCTGCAGTCGTATCTATTAATCATAGTTGTCATCAGTCGGTAACAACACGTGTTCCATGTGCTAGACAGTCACCCAGTCAGCCATGTTATTCCCGGGATGTAAAATCGAAAACCAGTGGGTCATCATTTTATACTTATACTTGTGCTGTTTCGATAAATAAATCATTCATTCATCATTGTGTCTGTGGGTGTTTAGTCTAAACTTCCACCACAGCCTTATCCCTTACCCAATATGACGCTAACCCCCTAAAGTATCTCCGTCACTCTCACCGTGCACTTATCAGCTGAAACAATAGGAAACACATACCAGCTTTTCTCGTCCACAACACTGCCCCGTCCTATTGCTTAAACAGCAAGGAAATAATAATATACACCCACAGGCTCTCCCCCTACCCCCAACATTGGCCGCCCCCTCCCCTCACCCCACACTGCCCTGCCTGTACTGCACCTATCAAGGAAATATAAATATACATCTATAAGCCTCGCAACCCACACACTCCCGGATCTCCACACTGCCTTGTCACCCCGACCCTCCCCCAACACACACGCCACCGCTACGTCCCCGTACTGCATCTTTATCAAGGAAATAAAAATAAACATCTACAAACCAACATACTCCCCGATCTCCACCCAGCCTTGTTACCCCTCCCCGACCCCAACACTGCCCGTATTACTTCAACAACAGGGAAACAAAAACATTAATCAACACACACACAGAGGCTGTCCCCCCGTCCCTAAACCACACCCTTCCCACCGCCCCCGAACTGTCGCAGCAGCAGGGACTTAATTGGAAACCGCTATCAGAGCGGTCTGTCAGGTGACGTTGTCTTAGAGCATTGTTTATTACTCATTAAGATGTTATCTGGGCTTGAACCGTCATATCACTCGACACCGTGTTTGATGCTGGTCGTGAATATTTATGACCCTAATCCAACGACATATGTTTCCTCGTGCAGCTCGCGCCTTGAACAAACAGTCCTGTTTGCGGTGATTTCATACTTGAAACCTCCGACAGTTATTACACGGTTAAAATATCGGCGGGTATTGTTAAAAGGTTTAGAGAAGGAATATTGCGTATCAAATTACAATTTAAGGGAAATTAATAATGCTACTACGATTGCTATTTAAATTCGCTACAACTGGTGGTTGCATGTAAGGATGGTGAATAGAGCTCACTGTGTGTCACGTTGGAGAATTCCAAAGTGACAATAACGGTTTATGATCCCAACAGAACAATGTCACTGTACTCTTTAACGCGTTAAATATGACAATCATCTCACAAATTTAAAAAAAAAAATTTCAATACGAACTGTTGACATTGAATATAATGAGCGTATGAAAACCAATGCTGGTACATTACTTCAGTAATCGGTGTCTGAATGCGAGGTTAGCGCCAGAAACCGCTAAAGCAGATATTGCACTCACGGGACACCCTCAATGAATATTAGTCCAGACGCCTGGCCCTGAGCTTTCAAACAGTGATGATAAAATATCACTTTTGTCTACATCTATGACAAATAAAGACTGTTGTATATTGCACAATGTAGAAGGTCACATGACAAATCCAATGTTCAATGGGACAATCCCCTTCACCAAGGGAGGTAACCTTTTCATGGCGCTGGAGGACCGATGGTTCCGATCGTTTAAAGCGATTTGGTAAAGATCTCTGTTGTATTAGTTTTGTCCAAACCCGTGGTCTCGCTGCATTAAAATAACTTTTCCGAGCACTCCCATTTATTTAGGAAAGCAATGGGGGAGGGGGATTCCATTCTGGAACTGGATTTCCTAGCTCCGGTGACCCCCAGTGGAGATGGATCCGGGGTAGAATAGGTCTTCAGCAACCCCATGGGCACTTGTGGTGTACCAACTATACAAGATGGATCGGTCTAGATGGCATGCAGGGAAGTCCGCTGGTATCTGTAACGTTGGTCACGGAATATACCGACTGGACCCGAATTTGTTTTCCGAATTAACTCTTAAAATTAGGCACGAACAACGCATGAGCATACAAATGACCCGTATGAATGAATGAATGTGGGTTCGAATCCCTGTTTCTAGGTTTGTCAGCACTATACCCGTGCTCGTGGGTTTCACCGAAGTGGTAGACGTCTGAGACCTGCATCACTTCGGGCTTTCCTCCCACATTAAGCTGACACGCCGTGATATAACTGGACTAATGTTAAAAGCGGCGTTAAACCCAACTCACTCACTCACTCACTCATCAATCAGGACACGCCGGGCTTTCTTCCCACATTAAGCTGACACACAGTGATGTAACTGAAATACTGTTTAAAGCGGCGATAAACTAAACTCACTCACGCATCAAACAGTGACGTCGTAATCCATGTCGGTAATAGGACCCTCCGCTCTTATGCTTGTCGTGTGAGGCGACTATTGTCGGGAAGGTAACGCAGTACAGTAGTGGCAGTACAGCTTCGCCAAATTCTATTCATACCACATACTTCAAACATGACATGGGAATAATTATCTACATTACAAGATAATCATATTAATATATAATTTCAGGAGAGAGAGAGAGACCTGTTATTAAAATATATCACAAGCTCATTCTCAAATGTACCTAGGACTAGGTTCCACGTTTCTTCACCCATTTTATGAATGTTATTGATTGCTAGTTATATATAAGATCTAAGCGACCAAGGAGACTCGCGAAAGCCATGCTGGAGACGACAGACAAATCGGATTCCAGAAGGAGCGAAAGGTTTGTCATGACACATGTTGGTATTCAACAGAATCATAAATTTTCGCTGCTTAACAAACGTGACGAGAATAAGTTGATGGGTGTATATTATATTTGCCATTTAGTATCATGTTTTCCAGTCTGGCAGTTAAACAAATAGATAATGGCGTTTCTATATAGAACTTTCTACATGGCATTTGCGTAGTCATTCATGCACAGGTTACCGTATTTTAATAATAA